TCGGGTTAAGCATTTTTTGATTTTCTCCTTGAGAAAATTTTATTTTATTCCCTGAAAGATACAAAAAAATTTAGTTTACCTGCCAAATGATTAATTTTTTCACATACTCCTTCAAACAAATAAAAAATGTTACAATGTGGTCTAAAAATATTTTTATTGCAACATTTTTGAAAGCAGATTACAAAGTTTTTAAACTATACTGTAAAATTTTTATTTTTCTAAGGAAATAATGTAAAAAAATTAATCATCGAGAGGGACAAATTGAGAATTTTTGTGTCTGCAGGGTAAAGTGGGATTTTTCGTTTCTCCTTCTCTGCACCGACTGAATCTGTGGTCAAACGTACACAACGCACACAAACTTACCTCTCTCTTTCCAGAGCTAGGAAGGGGGCAAGGACAGGCAGAGGTGGGAATTGAATCCTGGTTGGACTTGGGATATAAGGGGCAACCACCATGACCAAACAGATTGCCTTATCTTCTCAAACCCTAAACCTTGCTGGTAGCCCAACTGACGTACCACGGGTTACAAGTAAAAGTTCTGATTGTGTCGTGTTGTGTCATTAATTAATTTGTAAGTTTCAGTATTAATTAATCATTTTAGATTTGATGATATCTAGAGTAAATCTCAAGTGTTAGTTCAGAAGTTCAACTCAGATCGAGAGGTCAGTCATATTAACTGAGGTTAGAAGGCAAGAGCTGAATGTCTCTTGAGGCAAGACAAGGGTTGGATAACCACGAGAGGTTCCTAAAGCGTTAGAAAGCTATAATCAAGGCACCTAATCTCAATCAACCAAGATCTTCTCATAGAATTAAGGAGAACCCCACGAAATAAGGGTAAGAATATCGGCTAAGATCCCACTGAATAAGAAACAGCCCTATAAATACTATGTAACGCCCCTAAGGAGGGGAAGGGACCCTAGTGGCAAGAGAAAGCCATAGCAACTTTGTAATCATCGTGAATAAAATAGAAGGAGCAAGAACCTCCATTGAAGATTGAACTAGCCGAGCTCCTGAGCCGGTGAACCACTATATTTTTACTGTGTGCATCCCGTTAATTCTCTGAATATTTTATCAGTTAATATCATATACGAGTCTCGTAGCTCTGATCCACGTTCACCTCACATTACTTTCACCTTAAGCTCTTCCACGTTGGTATACACCATCAAGATTAATTACATTGTATTCGATTCAATAAACATAATCCGTGAAATTGATACCCACACACTTGTCCCATCTTTTTAATGTTTCGTTTGATAAGAAAGATGGAAAGTAAAAAAAATACACTTTATATCTTTCAAAGAAGGAAAATAAGAATGACACATGATGGTTTTCAGAATAATTTTCAAGCATGAGGTCGGACCAGGAGGTCAGACAAGCAGGTCTGGATAAGAAGTCAGGAAAGGCACGCAGAGCTAGAGCTCCCCCCCCCCCCCCCCCGACGCGCCAACAGCGGAAATGATAAGGAAACAGCTGGATGATAACAGAAACCTGTTAGGTGACAAAGAGCCATATTCAAGACATAAAATCCTTAACCAGATCCTCTCCTAAAATCAAGGAAAGTTCATCGGATAAATAGCAAGGATCTCGATGCAGATCCTATAGAACTAGGAACAGCCCTATAAATATTATGTAACTCCCCCAAGGCAAGGGGATACCCTAGTAACATATATTCTTTCTTGTAAACTTTCTAAATGAGAAAAAAAGGAAAAAGAAGCAAAAATCTCCATTGAATAGTGGATTAGCTAAACTCTTGAGTTGGTGAACCATTATAATTTTATTGTGTCAATCCCCCAATTTCGCATTTTTATTAGTCTTCGCTTTTTCGAGCCTTGTCACTCTGATCCTAAGACAACCAGTTGCTGATCATCTCACTTGCTCACCACCGTAAGTTTACATCACGTTAATTTACACCATCAATACACTTTCCTTCCTTTGTGTTTGGTAGGATATATGAAAAATAAAAATAACTAATATTTTTTTTTATACTGGTTAAGATTAGAGGTGACAATCAAGTCGTGTCGTGTCAAATTCGTATTGAGTCATTACCGGTTTGTGTCGAACATTAATAATTTCTAACTCAACTCATTTAATTAATTGTGTCATGTCGAATTGCGAGTTGATATGTTTATTTTTGTGTTTTGTTCGTGTTCGTATTCGTATTCGTATTCGTGTTGACCCACATAAATTTGGAATAAAAAATTTTAATGCTAATATTCTATTTTCAATTATATTTCTTATTCACGTGTCAGATCATTTTCAAGTTCGTGTCGAGTTATAATTAAGTTCATGTCATAAAATTCGTGTTGAATTAGAATTGTGTCATCGTGTTGAGTCAAAAAATTTCACCCCTACCTAAGATAGAAAAAATATTTTTTTAATTTTTAATTTTTAAAATTTTAAATTTAAATTTAAATTTTTTTAAAAAAATATATATAAATACATATTTTATTATCATTGTAGTTTTATATGAAATTAATATATACATAATATATGTATAAATCAAAATATATATAGACAAATAAGATACATCTCAACACAAATAATTAACTTTTCATCCACTTTTTTTTCGATTTTGAAGGGATTGATTTTGGTGAATTGAAAGAAAAATTAATCTATCTACTTTTTTATCATTTCTATTTTCTTTACTTACTAAACATGATATTTTATTTATCCTTGCAACTTTTCATCATTCCAACTTTTCATCATTCTATTTTTTTATCATACCAAACGGAGCATAAATCAAACACATAATCTAGTAGTCCATCAAAAATAAAAAATCCACATGATGCATATGCAACTAAAATTAAATAAAAAACCGTCTTATTTTGCAATAATTGACATAAAACTAAATCAAGAATAGAAAAACTATAAAACTTAGAGATTGTTTTCACGTTTGATTTCACGAATACTCAAATTCTTATCTTTGTAATATTAGATAATTTAATTTTGTAATTGTAATATTAGATGAATTGATACAGATTTTCTCTATTGTGCGTAGTACATTTCATTGATAAATCTATTATGTTGCAGCTTAGTTTTTTTGGTATCTTTTATTGTAAATTTTATTTTGAATTATTTGTAATCAATGATTATAAAAAAAGAGTGTAACAGTAAAATAATAAAAATTTACAATGTCATTTTATAATTAATTAAAAAAAATAAAATATTAAAAATTTAGATTTAATTGCACTGGATATCTCCAAAGTATAGAGTTTGTCTTATTTTGGTCCCCCAATGTTTCAATTGCATTATTTTGATCCCTGAAATATTTAATATGTTTCTATATGGTCTCTCAAACAGTTAGTGTCTAGTTTCTATATTGCATCATTTTGTTTAAGAGCTATCAAATTTTTTTTTGTCCATATTTAGTTATTACGTGACAAGTTTATAATAAAAAATCGTTAATAATCTGGACGTTGTCTACTTGAAAATCTATAAAAAATATATTTAATATTTCAAATATCAAAATAATACAATTGAAACATTAAAAATTAAACTGAGATAGGCTCTACACTTTTGAATCTCTAGTGCAATTAATTCAAAATTTTATTTTTCAATTGGTTCTACCCCCACGCTCCACTAGGTACTAAACTCATTCATCATCCTCACAGAAACACATGCAAAGTGCATTCCTTTCCGCACGGTCGGCTTTTTGCATGTGGTCCACCACCCACATTTTACTCTTATTTGTCTCTTTGCTTATTTTTCCCGGAAACCAAACATTACCTTATGCCTAAGAAAAACCCATCTGACATTTTTTTAGACACTATTAAAAGAACGAATACAATAATGTTCGATCGCGATTTTATGGCACACTAATAAAGACAGTGATCATTAAGTTAACTTAAAAGAAACTCATCTTTCTTGAAAATTGCCTCTATAACTTTATTTATATAGCAAGTTTAAGTAGTAATACTACGTGCATCAATTTTTTTTATTAAATTTGTGCGATTAAATATTTTCTCAAGTTCCACTAAAAAAAAATGAATTTGTAAAAATGAATTTTGATAAATTACTTTTGAGCTTTGTGAAAGTACTTTTTTGAATCTCTTTACTTTAATAAAGCAACAAAAAAAATGTTGGTAAATGGATGACTTTGAAGTCTTTATGGGTATGTTTGTTGTAATTTAGAAAAGAGAAAAAAAATTACAGAAATTCTTTTTCGAATAAAAAAGTCATCTCTTTGGAAGGAATCAAAATTTCCAGCCATTATAAATTTTGCTAATATATCTCTGTTTGGCTGTCGGGAGGAGGTGGTTATTATCTTTCTGACCTGGTTTCTCTTTAATTATTCACCGGCCCACATCCACATCCACATCCACACCCACACACACTCCCACATATTTATATAATAACATAACTAAGTGTTTGCACTTATAGGGTATATTTTTTCTCCCAAATTTCACACACCCATCACACACTTCTTCTCCCAAATTTCGCAAAATCAATACAAATATTCTACAACATATAGTTACACATATTGCTATACATATACATATATATAATACATATACATATGCTTTATTTATCTCCTCTTAGGGTTGTTTGGTATGTGAGTTTGAGTAGATTTGGGAACATGGATCGGGGAGTAAACTCCCTTAAACCTATATTTAACAACCATGAAATATGGATAAGATTTCAAACTGAGGCCTGGTCAAGGTCCGGTCATGAAACTCACATACTTGGGTTTCATGAAACCCAAAAGAGGGGTGAGTTTCATTTGTGGATTTGAGAGTTTAACATATAAATAATATTTATACCCCTATATATTCTATATATCTCATATATATAAATTGTTTAAGGGACACAATAGTTATTTAAATATAAATATATTGTTTTAATAATCATATATTTCTGCGCATACTAAACATGAGTATGGACAATATTAAATATTGAACCCCATGTTTGGGTCAAATCCGATTCTGGAGAATTCAATACAAACTCTTCCCAAAAAGACGTACCAAACATGCCCTTAATATTTATTTATTAATTAAACTTAGGTTTTGATGATTGGGTATTACAGTTCAGGTCTTGACATCAATCCGCGTTTCGTTCCGTGTTGATTTCTTATACCTGTTCTTGTTTCTTATTTCTCGTGGTAGTCACATTCAGATCTAAAGTTGGGCTTCTTGGAGGTAATTCATGTTGGTGGAATCTTAGTACTCAGAGCTGTCAAATGATGTGTGCAATGTTAAATTCTTCCGACATTTGATACTTACTGTTAAATTAAATTTGTTTTATTTGGTGTTTGGCTTTGTTGGTGTGTCAGATCTTAGCTTGGTGTTAGTTAATGAGTTCTTTAATGGTGAATGCAGATCAAGATTGAAACTTGGAGTTGATTTTTATATTTCTGGAGTTGTTATTGACTTGGGATTTCTGGGTTTTAGTTGTTGTTGGTGACATTGGAACTGAAACTTGAAGTTTTGAGGGATAATGGGATGGGAAACTGGCCTTTGTTCATGATGTTGGAATGTTTCAGATGCTGAAATGTTGGAAATTAGTGAGTTTGGGATAAAGGGTTTGGAATTCTGGAGGAATTGAAAGGACTGAAGGAAAGTTGTGATTGGCATTGAAATGGGGTCGAGGGAAGAGAGGTATCAGAATCATCATGGTCTTGTACCTTTAGCTGCACTGATCGGCAGGGAAATGAGAAGTGAGAAGATGGAGAAGCCGACGGTAAGGTATGGGTGTGCAGCTCAGTCTAGGAAAGGGGAAGATTATTTTCTTACGAAGACGGATTGCCAGAGAGTACTCGGGAATCCTTCGTCATCGTTCTCAGTATTCGCGGTATGAAACTTCTCTCTTGAATGTGTTTGATGAGTCCACATTTCATGAATTGAGAACCTCTGTATGATCTTTTCTGCCTCCCTTAATAGTTAATAATGCCACAGCCATAGGACTTGATCTCGGAGTTATGTGACCTAATTTCAGTAATTGTTATCAAAGTGATGTGTTCAGTAAATGGTGGTTTAAGTCGAGGTTTCACCAGTCAATCGATCTTTGAGCCCACTCTTCCTTGATTACTTTCTGCACCTTCTGACTTAGACTCTGTAAGAGAAATCAAAGCTGTGCGGTTTAGGATCAGAATGTTTTCCTCGTTTTTCTTGTTGGAAATTGTTGCATTATAAGGAAAAACAAAAGATCTTGTACGATATTTGCTGACACAATTACTAACCAAGGGGCATTTTTTTCTAAATTGCAGTTTGTTTGATGGGTTTTAATCATTTTTCAGGTCTTTGATGGGCACAATGGGAATGCTGCAGCAATTTTTTCAAGGGATCATTTGTTGAATTATGTGTTAAGTGCTATTCCTCGTGGACTTGGGCGGGATGAGTGGCTTCAAGCTTTACCTCGGGCATTAGTTGCTGGATTCGTGAAGGCTGACAAGGAGTTTCAGAGTAAAGGCATGAAATTTTGGACTTCTCCAATATTTGCTTTTGTCTGAGTGCTTTCTTTCGTTATTCTTATGCTTCATCATAATAAGTTCTTTTGATTCTCATCTCGACTTCTCCAGGACAAACTTCTGGAACCACAGTTACATTTGTAATAGTAGATGGATGGACTGTAACAGTTGCATCAGTTGGAGATTCCCGTTGCATTTTAGACGCTCAGGGAGGTGCGGTCTGTGAATTGACTGTAGATCACCGACTTGAAGAAAATGTGGAAGAGTGAGTGTCTATCTTTTGGTATTTCTGTTTCTTCCTTTTCTTGTCAGGAGACGTTGATTTATTCTGCTATAATTGCAGACGAGAACGTGTAACAGCCAGTGGAGGAGAAGTTGGGAGGCTTAGCATTGTTGGTGGTGCTCAGGTGAGGTTTGATGCAGTTCTGAAATTTTATGTCCAGTCATACATGCTGAATCCGCCCTGGTTGGTGTCAGAATCGAAATTTTACCTTCAATTGTGTGCTATATTGTGTAATTCCTGTAATTTTACTTTTACAGGTTGGTCCCCTCCGTTGTTGGCCAGGAGGGTTATGCCTTTCAAGGTCAATTGGAGACATGGATGTTGGAGAATTTATTGTTCCGATACCCTATGTTAAACAAGTGAAGGTAATTGTTTTTATGTTCAGATTTTTTATTGGTCATACATTGAACCTTGGTTTTTTTTTTTGACTATTTTTACTTTATAGATGATTCTATGGCTTATCACTTATATTCTTTCCCTGTCATTGGCTTGAGTCGTAACATTCTTGTTGCTATAAAGCTATCAAATGCTGGTGGAAGGCTTATAATTGCTTCTGATGGCATCTGGGATGCATTATCGTCGGAGATGGCTGCTAAATCTTGTCGTGGGTTGCCCGCTGAACTTGCTGCTAGGCAAGTAGTAAAGGTAATGTCAACCCATCAATCTGCTATATCTCCTTACCAGTTGACTATGTATGAGAATGACCATATCTGGATCAAACTTTTGGTTTCCAACATTCTTTCTTATTACCTCACTGTATTATCGTTTAGGAAGCATTGAGGGCACGGGGGCTGAAGGATGACACCACCTGTGTAGTTGTTGACATTATACCTCCTGATAATTCAGTACAGCCTTCACCTCCTCCCAAAAAGAAAAACAAGTTTAAAGCTCTATTTTTCAGAAAGCACTCCCGCGATTCTGCTCTTAAACTCTCAAAGAAGCTATCTGCTGTAGGTATTGTAGAAGAACTTTTTGAAGAAGGCTCAGCAATGCTTGCTGAAAGGTTAGTACTTATGTTTCCATATATATTATATTTGGTGCTTTTTGAAAAAAAAGTATTGGGTTGGACATAGTTTATAGAGAGTAGAAGGTTGATACCAAGAGAAACACCATCTTGCTGGGGTTTGTATACATGGAAAGAACGGATGGAAGGGATCAAGTTGAGGAAATAAGACAAGTTATAGAATCTCAGTTCTTCTCAGTAATTATAGGACTCATGAACTAGAAGCTGAGGTTTCGACTTTCGAGACCACAATGATGTCACACTATTGATTAATACTTGCTTCAAATTTATGTAGCTAGTTAAATCTACTTAAGATATTTGCGGTTCTCCTTTTCTTTCTTTTTTTTTTTTTTTTTTTGGGGGGGGGGGGGGTTCGCTAGATGTAGGCGAGTTTTTATTCCAATTGTTCTTGAGTACGAGAAAAGATGGGTTTTAAGCATCTTGGGTGTGTAACCATATAAGTGGGGTTTTTTTGCTTTTGCATCGGATCTATCTGCTGTCAAATGCATTATCTCAGTCAGACTTGGGTGGATTCATTAACTGAAAGTCAGCAGATTTTGAGTCAGTTTGTGATTTTCCATCTTATTTCTTAAGAGTGTCCAAACAGCCAACTCTCAGCTTAATAACGTTGGGTTAACTATACCAAATTTCACCTTCATGTATAACCTCTTAGTTTTGGGCTTTAACTTCTTTGGAGCTTTTGTATGCTACATTCCAATGTTTTGTGAGTTCTCAATATTTTTGATAGAGGTATTAAGTGAAAGTTTGTTTGGACGATGTAGGGAGAATTTGTATTTTATAAATGAATGAGAGTGACTCAAAGATATGTCATTTTCTTTCTGCTTATTACATTATGCAAACAATATTTTTTAGTCTAGGAGTTTTGGAATCTGGTAGACTAGTCCATTTATGTACATCAGTGAAGCCTTGAGTTCTTGAGTTCACTACCTGGCATTCCATTATGTATCGTGCTTAAAGAACATATTAAACATCACAATCTTTGAATTATCATTATTAAATTTAAGTCTCTGACATGTAAAAAAAGCATTCTTGCATCCCTAACAATATTTGTTAAACCTCTCTTTTCATAATCTGCAGATTGGGAAATGATAACTCAAATGGTCAATCGACATCTGGTCTTTTCATGTGTGCCATTTGCCAAGTAGACCTTGCTCAAAGTGAGGGCTTATCTGTTCATGCCGGTTCCATCTTCTCCACAAGCTCAAAGCCCTGGCAAGGTCCTTTCCTTTGTTCTGATTGCCGAAATAAGAAGGATGCCATGGAAGGAAAACGGCCAAGTGGAGTTAAAGTGGCATAACTTCTGTTATTATTTTCCCTCATTCTTTCCCATGATTCTTTCTCAGTAATCTGCACTTTTATTTGGTAGGTGATTTTTTGAATCTTAATTGATGATCCACCAAATGGCGGAAATACTTGCAAATATTGTGAAATCAGTTGTAGATATGATGAAGAGTAGGATTCATGAGTGCCAATGTTGAGATTGTTGAGATGTCATTGGAGATCTGAACCTTTTTTTTTTAGTGTTTGAAGTAGAAATAATTGAACGTATCTGTCGAGAATACCTTCCTTACAAAGGATAAGCAGGGTTGTATATCTCTTGACTGTAATTTCTGTGTAACAAAAATGATACTGACCCCTGTTAAGTGCTACTGCAATGTAACTAAAATGCAGATTGGATCATTGAAGTTAATGTTGAAGATATTGTACGGTCTACATAGCCTCTTCTGCCATGTATCTGCACATGCAGGTCCAAACTCCTGGGCACGAAACTCCCGTTGAGGAATTTGGGGAGCCTCAGTTATGCGCAGCCTTGACCCAGATGTAAAACAACTATTTTTGTAGATGCAGGAGGGTAAGTGTATTGTGCAGATATTGCAAGTCTTTTTCCACTAAGACAAAATGATCAAATATCAGAAGGTGAGAAGTCTGGTTCAGTAGTGAGGGACCTGATTTCTTTTGAAGTCCAAGTTAGTAGTTTTGAAGCCATTTGCAGCTATTTGAGGACAGTACATGTTTTGGAGCCATTTGAGGATCAATTTGAAGCTATTCATATTCGGATAAATGTTATTTTAGAGTAAAATTTAGAATTTATTTTGGTCAGGAATCTATTAGAGCCGAGGCGAATTATATGTTGTTTGGATTCGACTCATTTATAAAATTTAGTTAAATCTCTATATTCTATTTAAATGTAGTTGGTTGCATGAGCTCCAAATATTAGATACTAATTTTCAAAAATTTTGATTTTTTAAATACATTTTAATTTACATATGGCCGTTTGTCTATCACTCTCACTCTCTTTATCGGTTCTTAACTTCTTCGGGAACTAACTTTGACCAAACGCTCAATCCCATTTAAACTTCCCCCTACTATTACTTATCTCTCCCCATCAAATACTAGATTTTTTTAATGTTGAATTATTTAATAACAATGCATTGATTTGGTCAAATTAAATCATTTCATGTGGCTTATACAACTATTCCCACAAAATTATTTTAAATTTAATTTTTTTCACTTAATTTAGCACAATAATACTGGGATCGAGGGGGCGGGATGAGTGGTTGCAATGGGGGCATGGAGGTTTGGTTGGGGGGGGGGGGGGTAAACTAACTGTTAATGGCATTTTTCTCCTATATTTTTTTTAAACTTTCACTCTTAGATATTAATTTTCAAAAATTTTGATTTTTAAATATATTTTAATTTACACATGGCAGTGTGTCTATCACTCTCACTCTCTTCATTGGTTCTTAACTTCTTCGGGAACTAACTTTGACCAAACTTTCAATCCCATTTAAACTTCCCCCTACTCTTGCTTATCTTTCCCCATCAAATACTAAATTTTTTTAATGTTGAATTATTTAATAACAATGCATTGATCTGGTCAAATTAAATTACTTCATGTGGCTTATACAACTATTCCTGCAAAACTATTTTAAATTTAAATTTTTCCACTTAATTTAGCACAATAATACTGGGATCGAGGGGCCGAGATGAGTGGTTGCATTAGGGCATAGAGGTTTGGGCGGGTGGTGTAAACTAACGGTTAATGGCATTTTACTCCTAATTTTTTTTTTGAACTTTGTATCTAAGTTATAAGAGTAATGTTTTTGGGATTTAAAAATTTGATCTAATGATGTGATTTCATTAAAACTATTTAATCAACAATAAGTCCAATATTTGATAGGGCGCACACTCAATTAAAAAGTTATAGTGAATTAGATCAACAAATTAGTTCAATAAATTATTTTTTAATAGCATTGCTCATGTTATAATGTCTCACATTGTATGGTTAAGGAAAAATTACACTTTGATCTCTTGAACTATGTCCGTCATTTCACAACTTCAAAATGATTAATTAAACTTTATCTTGAAGTTTCATCAAGTTATATTTTGGTCCTTCAAGATTTTCTGTCATAGACGTCTTATTAGGGGTGCAACTCGGACGGGTTGGACAATCAACCCTAATCCAATTCTAAATATATAATCTTTATCCCTAACCCTAACCCTACCTCGGGTTGGAGAACTCAACCCGAATACAGTCCGAGTTTAATTCGGGCGGGCTCGGGTTGAATTCGGATTGATTATTTTGGGTTACTTTACGGGTTCAATTCGGGTAGAGCCCAAAATAGGCTTGTTGTTCTAAACCTAATACATATATTACATAATATTCACCTAAATTAACAATCAATAACTTCAATCAAATTTTTAACGAGAGAGATAGAATACAATGAAACAAAAATGAAAAATCAGTGCTAATACTTTATATATATATATATATATACATATTTTTTTTTTAATTTGTCGGGTTCGGGTTAAATTCGGGTTCACGAGACCTTAACCCGAACTCAACCCAAATTGAATTCGGGTTAAAATTTTTTGACTCAAATCCAACCTAAGTATTAAAAACCCTTGCCCAAGCCCTAATTTTTTCGTGTTGGACTCGGGTTGAAATCGAGTTGTCCAATCCAAGTTACACCCCTACGTCTTATTCATTCAAATAAAAGTCGGAAAGTCCAGAGATATCTCTTAAAGGTCTTATCCGACCATGAGATCATCTTCTTCATCTTCTTCGAGGTGGGTTTCAAATCTGAGTTTCAAATTTTGGTTTGTCTTCTCCAGTAACTGGGTTTTTAGATCTAGGTTCTCTGGCAACTGGGATTACTCTAACGAAGCTTCAACTACGCAATTAAATCAATGGTTAATTTTTTTTTAATTTTTTTTATCAAATTTAATATATTAAAATAATTTTATATGAAATCGTCTATCCTAACAGATTTTACTATTTTTTATTTTATAAAATTATTTTTAAAATTATCTAACGAAACAAGTTCTTCATCTAAAAAATACTTTCCTAAAATTCTTCTGAGAAAATATTTTCGCATATTGTTTTTGGAGACCCAAATCAGACCTAATCTTTCTGCTACTGGTTTATGATCAATAAATGTGGTGGGTGGGAAACTCCTCCACACTTTTCCTTCAAGTCTTCCATACCCAAAGTTTCCAGTCAACAGGCGTGTTTAGAAGACTAGAAGTCTAAATCTATCACAAAGACACACAGTGCACTTCAATTCCGCGTTGTTACATGCAGTTTTGGTTAATTCAGAATGGGTGTTACTTCTTTTTTGGGTCTGTTTCTTCTCTCTCATTTAATGCTCCTTCACTCAGGTCAAGGAAAAAATCAATCCTTTCATGGCTGCCCAGTGTCATTCCAGTGTGGATCTCTGGGTTCGATTAGCTTCCCTTTCACTCATCTCAAGCAACCTGATTGCGGGTTGTGCATGGTAGACTGTGATAAAAAGCCATTTCCAAACATCCAACTGGAGAAAAATGGAACGTGGTATGAAGCTAGAAGAATGGTGCAGAATGATACCATTTTAGTTCTTGACCCAGGGCTTGATTATCTCTTTAAATCCCAAAGTTGTGATTCTTTCAATAATATCAGTTTTCCCAAGTCCCCCTCTATTTCGTTTACAACCTCCTCCATGTACACCTTCTTCAAATGCCCCAAAGGTCTGTTGGCTAGTCAATATTTTGACAGTAATTACAACGTTTACGATGACTGCCCTGACTTCTCCCTCTACTACACTAACTACACATTTTATGTTGAAGATCGTCCCTCGATTCCTTCCAATGCTCTACCTTATTGTTCAGTTTTACAACTGCCACTGACGATGCCAGATATCTACTCTTTCAATAGTCCCTTATCCTATTTAAGTGCTGAATTCTCTCTTCAATTGCATGTGTCCAATAACTGTTCCAAGTGTAACCTTGAAGGAAGGCTATGTCGAGTTGACAGCAAGAATGAATTTTATTGTGACAAGTTCCAAGGTATGACCAATAATCCACAACTTACATTAAACCCCTCTTCCATACAAAAACTTTTTGATCCTTTTCGGTTTGCTATGCTATTAGGCATGCTGGTTTTAAAATGTTCCTTGTTCATATATTGTCAAAGTTTTTGGGTATGAAAAGTGTTATATTCATTTTACCTATTATTTGTGTTTGAACTAACATTCTTATAAAAAATTATTAAGTTATTTTCCTCGGTTATGCCTAAAGTCACGATCCTTATAATTTGGTCGGTTATTTTACATGATACCACATGTCAACAAATTGGACTATATATCTAGAGTCATACTGACCTAGAATTGAATGTGGTAGATTTATTTTGAAATTGCTCAGCCCAAAAAAAACCAAAATAAAAGAATTTTGGCGATTAACCAGATGTCGTCACTAAGAGTCAAGTCACTTGTGTCGGTGAACCATTAGATGAAGCAGATGAAGCAGCTTTCTTCCAGCACGTATTCTCAAACGACTAATTGTAATGGAGTTACTACCAAGCATGCCTCTAGATGCCAATAACCTGTTTGTGGAATTGATTCACCGGTAATTACTCTCTTGTAAGTGCCTCATGTGTCATTTGATTGGAATAAGCGTAGCCTTAAGAAGGCAAATGTCAAAAAGATGAACAATATTTTCAATGTGTAAACTTGAAAGATGGTCTAGCCCCAAGATGGAAGATTTGTCTATCAGTTCAAATCAAAGGTTCTGATGAGCCCAAATCTAATTGGGTTAGGTTTAATAAATCAAGTTAGCTCAAATCAGCTAAAGGGCAGGTCAAGTCCAATTCGAAAATTCAACCCAACCCAAGTTCAAAGGAATCTAAGAAGAATTAGAATATGTGAGGAGCAATTATCGGGATACTCACTCTCAAAGATCAAGGCAAAATTATATGACACTTACCTTTTGTAGCGACCCGGAGAATTAGTGTCTTTTCCCTCACGTCATCGCCTTAACCAAGGCTCTATGCTTATAAATTGTAAGTTCTCTCTACCTCTTGAGATCTCTCTACACACACATATCTTCTCTCTCTTAGCTATTATACTCCTTCCGGAGCTAACCATTGCTCTCTCTCTCTCTCGATCACCATATTTTATCAATAAAGGTCCCCCGACCACTGTTACCGTTTCTTGAAGTGGAGTAGGTCACTTGAACCAAACCACTATATATTTGTATGTTGACCCGATATTTACATTATTGTCATTGATTGCTCTATAAATTGTCCATTTATTACACTTTATTACACACTCGAGTGTTGATCTTGTACGAGACAATTTTGTGCATCATCAGTTTGGCGCCTTCTATGAAAAACGACTAAGGTTTCTACTACCTTACCTCTCTACTCTGGGCGCTAAGCCGCCCCCCACCAGGGAGTCCCGCCTTAGGGCGCAGGAAGCTCACGTGTTTCCCCTCCTCATGTACCTGCGCAAGAGAATGAGAGAGAAATCTAGTATGCCAATCATGAAAGCCATTAGAATGACCCGACGAAAGGTATCCCCAACCAATTGGATGAGAAGATTAGGGAGGTGCAAAATAAGCTTGGTGATGCCTTCAACGCCATCAAAACACAGGCACTTGAGACGGTGGATTACTTGGTAAGACGCACTAATACCTTGTTCGTTGTAGGTGTTATCAATTAGCCCTTACCCTTGAAGTTCAAGATGTTTGCCATCGAGATCTTGATGGTATCAAGGACTCTCTGGATTACCTCGACACCTATAAGTCTCTCATGCAACTCCACAACGTGCTTGATGAGATCATGTATAGAGCCTTCCCCACCACCTTGAAGGGGTCTGCTCGACAATAGTT